GAGTTGATATTATCTGTTTTTGTGTCTCTTAATTATCTTTGATTAACAAGAATAATTAGTAATATCAGAAATGAAACTTTTTTGTTATAATTGGTAAAAAATTAGGGTAGCCATTATTAATAATCATAAGGCACTATAGTCTTCCAAAATCATCATTGTAATTGATTTGTTGATAATTCTTATCTTACAGTCTATTCCAATAAAAGTGAAATTTTATGTTATTATATTATTATAGAGATTTCTTAAAAATAAGAATAAAAATAAAACCAAAAGCCATTAATTGAAGAATTAATCTATTTTGGTTTAACATTATGTTACACACATTAATTATGATTGTTAACTATTTTGTAGTTTATCAATCATCAATAATAATAGATTTAATAATAAATCCTTAAAGTACTATACTATACATCCAAAAGCAAGAAGAATTATTGTGATCCACCCATGCTGATGATGGCATATCAAAGGTGATGTTCTGACGTTTTTAATAAAAATTTTTTCAATAATTTTTCAGAATTTATAAATTATAACATGCATTACTAAAAGGTACTATATCTATAAATGATTTTCTAATATGTAGACATAGAAGACAGAGAAGAAGGAAATAACAATCCAGAAAGTATATACCGTGAGAATTATGACGTAAGTACTAAAAGGATTTTTGAAAATAGAAATTAAATTATGGATGTTAAATATAATAATTATTTTGTTATCAGCAAGATAATAAGTCACTCACTAATAAGTCAAGAAATATAGTGAAGCAGAAAATTATAGAAGACATTATGAAATTGGAAGAATGATGAAGTGTAAAAAAAATTTTTTTTTTTATCATAATAATACTCTTTGACTGTGTACATATTCACCATTAATTATAAAATCAAAAAAAAATTATAAAAATTATTTACATATTGCAAATAATTTCATATAATGAGTAGTATAATTTTAAAATATATAAATAAGATATTTTTAATTAATACTATAAGTGAAAAATGGAAGATGTTAAAATAAGAAAAACTCTCTTTTTTTTTAACATGACAAGTTTCTTGTAATTTGCATAATTGTATTTAAATTTGCATAATATTAAATTATATATACATAATTTACAAATTAAATTATTTTATAATCAATTACATATATAAAAATATATTATAATAAAAACATAAAAAAATAAAAATTGTAAAAACAATTTGTGGATCAAGAGCTGATAAAAATTTCATATAATAAATATTATCAAAGTCTGTAATGGTCATACTGATATTAACAAGTTGATCAAGTGTGATACCTGCATAAAAAATTAAAAGGGATAAAACTATCAAATGACTCCACAGATGGATTTCTTGTTTGAAGAAATTATATTGGATAAATATCATACAATTCTACTTCAATTGTAATATAATCTTTATTGTAAAAAGTTTTTTTAAATAATGTTTCTCCTCATTAAGATTGATGCCAGAAATTTTAGCTTGGAAATAGAGTTCTTTTTCACACTTTATCTCCAAATGAAAACTCTTTTTTGTTAGTTGTTCACAACTTCTTACAATTCTTCTATTTGATTTTGTGTATGAAGAACCTCTTGTAAGTGTTGAGGAGCACCTGCGCTTTTTCACACCTTTGATCATTTTCAGTACTAGCTATCAACTCAAGAGATGATACGTATTATTTTATTTTTTGTCTATAAGATTCTATACTTGTACATTCATTGAAGAATCTAACAATATCCCAATCTGACACCTTTACTTTGTGCATCCTATGACTCTATGTAATTTGTACCACAATGAGTAGATTTTTACCAACATAAAATATTCCAAAATAATTTAATTTAAACAAAAATTTTGGAATACTAAACTATTTTTTTTTTTACATTAAGTAATTTGTATATATTTTATATTTATGAAAGAAGTACAGTATCTTTTAAATCGTCAACTCCAGTTTTGTAATTTCAACTTTCAAGTAAAATTGAATATTCTAAGTATATCATAAATAAATGACTTTGTAACAAGAAAAAAAAGCCAATATAGTGGTTTGGTTTCTTTAATAAAATTATAAAATTCTTGTCATGTAAATTTTGGTTTGCCATGCAATTTTTCATAATTTCTTGAAAATGAATTATTACTTTCCAATAACTTATTTGGAATATTACAGGATATAAAATAATTGAAAATATCTTATTGTGAAAGTATTTGTATTCAATTCTTTATATAAATATGGTGGACAAAGTCAAAATCTTTATATTATTTCCTTTCAATTATATTTTTAGTATCATTGTCCTTCTAAAAATAATTTTTATCTTTAATTAATTCATATATTTGTATAATAATGAATTTGAATATTTAAGTTATATATTATTAAACAAATTTATCTATATAATTCATAAATTTGTATAAATAGAGGAGAAGGATGTGTGCTTTTATTAAAATGGAATTAAATAAACTAATGATGGTATATTGATGATTTTTACCATTCCCTAATTCATTTTTTTCTGACAAAGGAGCATTACATTTTTGAAGGGAAAGATGAGGATAATAATATAAAGTATATATGTTACTTTAAAATTATATCAACAAAAATCTTAAATTTAATATGAAATAAAATTTTTGGTTATAAAAATTTGAAGGAAGCTAAAATTTCATGATCCAATTTTAATATAATTTTGTGTAGAATTTATAAATTTTATAATTAAGAATATTAACAGTCAATAATATGTTATTAAGTTCATTTTATTACAAAAATAGTTACAAATGAGTTTTTGTAATATTTTATCTTAAAAAATTTTTTTTCGGAAGTGAACTCCTTAAAACTATTTATGTATAAATAATAGACATTATATATATCTTTATGTAATTATATAATGAATATTTTATTTGTATGTAAAGAATTTTAAATATTTAACAATTTTTTTTTAAATATGTATAAATAATAGACATTATACATCTTTATGTAATTACATGATGATATTTTTTTAGAAATTTTAAATATTTAACAATTTTTTTTAAATATGTATAAATAATAGACATTATATATCTTTATGTAATTATATAATGATATTTTTTTGTATGTAAAGAAATTTTAAATATGTAACAATTTTTTTAAAAAATTAAAATCAGAAAAAAGGGGAAAAAGGGAAAAAAGAAAAAAAGGGGATCGATGATGATAAGGCTTTCAAATTCATATTTATATTTATTATTAAATTTATGAACAGCCACCCAGTAAGCCATAGCCACAAAACAATAGGAATTTTCTACATTTCATAGTCATAGCCTCAAAATCACAATAGAAATACATATATAAAATAAAGCATAGCCTCAAAAATCTCAAATTCATATGTAATGTTTATTATAAGTTGATGTGATCATGTGAAGTGATTTGGATTATCTTACCAAAGTTACACAGCCTGCTCAAAGATTTTTATTTCAACGCAGTAATTTTTATGAACGAACATATAGTTTTAAAGAAATTCTAAAAAAATATCAATACTACCAAATACTAATTCAACGGGTATCAATTTAAATCTCTCAGAAAAATTATAAAATGTTATTTTAATTTTCTAAAAAAAAAAGGTTTATTTTTAAAAAATTTAAAATCCAATAAATTATTACAAATTTAGAAAAGAAAATAATTTAATTATTTTCTAATAATAAATAGAAATAATTACGATTATTAATGATGATGTTTTTAGCGGGATTCCGGCTTATAATTCTGGTTCAAATTTTCTTATTATTACTAATATCGCAATTCTATTGCAAAAAGTAATTTAAAATCCTGTTTGATCAAATAAAATAATTTGCATTAAATTTACTACATGTATTTGACTACATATCATATATTGATTCCATAAAAGGACTTTGTAAGAATCAAACAGTAATATTATATTACACAAAATCACATCTTTTACGTAAATTTTTGTAGCTTAAAACAAATTCTTGAAGTATTTCATTGATGATAATTAATAGATAAACATCGAAATTATGTTTAATATAATCTTGTTGGAATCTCTTCTATGTAGGCTAATAATATGAGATAATAATATGAGTTTTGTCTTTTTAATAAATTAAGCCTGATATTTAATTGCGTGTCTTTAATTAAGTCACAATAACTAAATTTGGATTCGGGGAAACAAAATAGAAATATGTTGCGTTCAAAATTCCCATACAAGTGACTGCCAATTTAATACCAGTTAAAAAAAATCAAAAAATTATCTCCAATTTATTGGAATCTATAAATTAAAACATGAAAAAAATTGTCAATAAAAAATTTTTACTCACTATTTATTATCCGTATTAATTTCTTCCTAAAGCTTCAGCAGTAATTTCCGATTCTATTTTGTAAACTTATCACAAACATTGGTTGGATAGACAATACGATGTGTGTGACATACAACTGAACTCTCGAGGCAGGAAATCTGGACTTCGTATTTACAGCGCAATATAACAGTAAAGCGGAGCATATTTCCGGTCTGAGGAATGTGAAAATAAATCGAACATCGAGAATCAATCTAGACAGGTACGACTGGAAGCTACATCTCAGGATTTTAACGTATTCAACGGGATCATCTATTGGATCTATTTCAAGCAGAACTAACATAAGGCTCCTCTTATTATTGATCGTCGTTATTAATTTAGCTTATATCAACAAACCAGAAGTATTTTAATTTGAGTTCTGAAATAGTAAACGATGATTAACTTAGTAAGTAAAATAATTAAATTTAAATAAATCATTTAATTACAATTAAACAAACTGATAAAAGATCTTGAGATGAAAAAAAAAAGAATTATTACAAAGTCGGTAAAATCGGTGAAATACCAATTACTTTACCATTAAATTTTGCACGGCATGGCATATAATATAATTGCTGTCTTTTTACATTTCTTTTACAATTGTGGTTTTGACGCCTTCTTTCAATTCGCAAAAGGAAAGGTGTTCTTTCAATGGACATATTTGAATAAATGACCACCCAAACAAAGCCCCAACGCGGTTAATTTTGTTTAACTAAATCAATATTTCCTATATCTTCATTAATTATATATTATTGTGTAATTAATTATATACAATGGCAATTGCTAGTATTATGCGTTCGAGAAAGCTTTAAATCACATCACGTGTTAAATTTTTTTTTGTCGAATAAATAAAGAACAAAATTTTTATTACTGGGAATGCTCTTGATTACATACAATAAAATAAGCACAATATAATAACAGACATAACATAAATAAATACAAATACATGAAAAAAATAATACATAATAAAGTAACTTATATCTTATTCTAATTCGATATAAATAGGCATTAGTTGTTCGCTTTGAATATTATTCACGAACGACCCATTATCATCTTGTCCATAATACAAATTCTTCATTTGTTCGTTAAGTAATTTCTTGGTTTGCTCTGAAAGTTCTTTATGTTGACTTTTCACATATTCTGGTTGTTTACTCCAAAGATCACTCGCCAAAGGTGATAGTTTTTGCATTGGAAGGTTAAATCCTTTTGATTTCAAAAATTCATTAAGTTTTTTCCTAAAAATAATGAAACTATTTCCACCATTTTTTTTAGTCATATCTTTAATTTTTTTATGAGACATCTTTTCATTATCATCATCATCATCGTTTGGTGACTTTTTACGTTTACCATTAATTATTAAATTTCCTAAACGTTCATAATGTAATTCCTGTATTCTTTCAGAAAGAACTTTATAATGGTCTTTTACATTTTCAGGTTCACTCTTCCATAAAGCACTTGCTAATTGTGATAGTTGTTTCATAGGAAAGTTGACACCAGATATTTGCAGATGTTTATGAAGATATTTTCGATAAACCATAAAAGAATTTCCCCTATTCATTTTACTCATATCTTTAATTTTTTTATTATTCTCATTTTCATTAACAAACTCTTCCACATTTATATCAGGAGGAAAAATTGGTCTATGTAATTCAACTAAATAGTTAATATAATCATCATCGTACAAGGTTTTTGAGTAAGAAGGATCATTACAAAGTATATCAGAGTCATAAGACTTAATATCATGATTCGAATGATATTTAAAAAATGTATTTTGTAAAGGGTCTTCAAATGATTTCATTTTCGACTCATAACTTATAAATATATTATCGTTTTCCATTTTATTAAAATATGTTTACAATATATTATAAAATTTTGGAAGAAAAAAAAAAGAAGAGGTATTAATAAAAAGTTTCAATAAACCATATTGTGCCATAACAATATTATAATTTTTAATGAGGTTATTAATGAATAATAAATAAAATTATAAAAATTTAGCCTAATAAATAAAGATAAAACGATAAGTGTGAGACAATCCTTTATTTACGTATATGGAAACATAAAGAGAATGTAACACAAAACCTTATTCACTTTGTTCAAATGACAATTTTGGGTTTGATACACTTTTTTTTTTATTGTTTATTTTGTTTAATTGTAACACATAAGTTCCAACATTCTGTCGTGTAACCGATATCTAACAGTTTTTCATTTCTCATTGATAAATAGGAAAAATTCCGCTTGGATAATAAATAAGATAAATAAATAAATAAAATATAAATAGAAAATTTATTTTATTAATTTATCCATTTATTCACTTCTTATACACTTTATTAAATATAATCTAATCCGTATTAAATACATATCTTATTATTAGAATATTCTATTAAGAGAATCTTAATCTAAACACCGGTTTTAAAATAAATAAATATTATTGTTATCTTTGTTGTATGATAATACCTTTATGTATAAAAGTTACTTATCTTATAATTTATTTAAAGTAAAAGAAAATTTTATTCCATTTTTTCTTAATAAAAAAAAAAACGTTTATTTGTTTTTTTTATTGTGAGACACAGGGACAAAGAACTCATTTGTATCCGCAGTAGAAATATTGTAAATAACAATAGTGATATTATTCTATTCTGAAAAATTATTATTATTCATTTTTTTTTTCATGAAAAATTGTATCTATGAAAGAAGTTCATGTGTTCGTGTAGCACCTTTTACGTAACTGGATTTTTTCTCAATAAATAATTCCGTATTTTTAAAATAATATTCAATATTCACTTATGTATGTTGGATGTTAAATTATTTAGCTATTCATATTCTTCATTTATTATGTCGAGTGTTAAATTAATTTGTTCTTTATTTAATATGTCGGACGTTAAATTATTTAGTTATTCATGTTCTTTATTTAATAATTAAAATCCTGTAATTGTGACTGAAACTTTTTATTATTGAAACTTAATAATTTAATAAATATTATAACGAAGCGCCCACGTACAGTAATTTATCACGACGACAAATAATACAAAATATTTCCATTTCCTAAAAATAAAGAAATAAAAATTATACTTCTCAGAAAAAAAAATTTGCTAAAATCATACTCCCACTTTACCAGCCGTCTAAAAAAAAATTGAGAATAAAATCTCTATAATATATTCCTTAAACGAAATAAAGCATTCCAACCAATAATAACAAGACCTTAATAATCTAAGTTAAATCGCTGAAACAAATAAAAATTAAAGAATATGAAATATTATTCCTATGAAAAGAAGACTTTTGTATTTAAAATGTAAGAACTTGAAATAAAAGTAGCAAATATACCATAATTGGTTTGTTGCGGCAAGCGAGTCATAAGGGTGACGTTCAAGCCTAAAAAATAAAACCGAAAAAGATAGTTATTTCACGGGGAACTGTCTTTCACGGCGCAGCCGTGAAAATCATGATATTCCAGTGACTCCGTGAAATAACTGATTTACGGTATCCGTACCATAAACCCTTTAATATATTTATTTTAACTATATAATGATTGACTTTTTATTCCAATATTGATAGACTTTTTACCCAGTTTTTAAATAAACACTACCCGTGAGAATATCAAGAAAAAAAAATCATAAATTTTAACTAGGAACCGTGGATAAAAAGAAAAAATCACTATTCCGCTGTGGAAAATATGATCTGTTGCGGCGAACTGATTTACTAGTAAAAAAAAATTTGTTGGCAAGAAATTTCTTATAAAAAAAAAGTCTTATAATCATATTCTAATATTTATATCACTAGTAAAAGTACCTGTACACCACGTGTTACGAACTTAGGTTTATAAGCCAACAAGTTCGTATGATTCATTTTCTATAGTAAGAAAAAAAAGATTATTTGTAATTCAGAATAAGAAATTTTTTGTATACATACCCAATTGTGGTAGATAAACAATATTGTTTGCTTTAAATAACCAAACGTAGCTTTAATCAAATTTATAGGCTTAAATAAATTACAAATGTATACTAACCGGAAAAGATAAAGGTTATTTAATTTGATCATGATTTTCAAAAATCTCAAACTACTAACGTTATAACTTATAAATACGTCAATAGATCAGTGTAACATCACATGTTAATGCTAAGCCACTCTATTTAAAGTTCGTTCAAAATAATATTTTAAGCTTGCTTTCTTCAATGTTTCCTTTAAAATTATCTTTATAACTAAGAAAAAAAATGAAGTTAAAGCATGATTTCAGTTACAAAAAGAAAGAAATAAAAATAGAAAAGACAACCAAAAAATAAAAAATAAAACGATTTTAAAATTTTTGTTAGGGTATTATTCCCTTCGATATACTTAGATATCGTTCCCTGAAAAATGATCCAATCAGAGCTTTCAGATTTCTTGGATGCCCCCGCCCCATACTATTGTGGGAATGTGGGTTCAGAATTAATGAATACAACAGATTTATTGCATAGGATTAGCCTGGGCGTATATAGTATTTTATTTTTTATTTTTCAAAAAGATTCTTCATTTTTTTTTTAATTTTTCTTAAAAACTTTTATTCCATTTCTTTTCTTTTGTGCAATGTATTCGTAGTACAAAATAATAAAAAAAATGTAAAACTAGGTCGAGCTCACCAGGGGTCGAACCTGATTCGTAGTCAGGCGCCTTATCCATTTGGCCATGAGCCCTTGAAGAAACATATAAAAAGTTTTCATTAATTTGTTTCAAAAGACTTTTATTTATCTAGTGATTTTTTTCATGAATTTTAATTTTCTATATTTTTATTATATGCATTTATTACAATATTTATTTTGCACATCTGACTTTCTTTGAAATGATGACATATGAAGATAGATATAGATAGTGTGTAAGTGAATTTTGAAAAAATTTACTTATAAATATATTTAAATATAAGTTCTAAATGAATGTTATTTAAAGTTGATATTGAAAAAAAAAGACTACAAATAGGAAATAATATATATTTTATAGATTACCGATGATATCCTTTAATTCAAGCAAATGTTCTGTTTCTTTTCGTAAAAAGTATTTGTCCTCTAAAGCTTCTGGAACATTATCTAATAATAAATGATTCATTTTAGGAAAATAAATTCGATTTTCATGATTATTTCCTACAGTAGATCTTATAAGTCGAACATAATCTATTTCCTATTATAAGTAAAGGAATAGTGATGTTACGCTCATGTATTACTTATTATATTTTATAGAAACATTAAAATGAAAAGTCATACCATATCAATAGATTCTTTCTTTGTTTCAATTGAAAATTGTATCCATTCTGAATAAGGCCAATTTATAGAAAAAAATGTCACATATTCAATCCAACCTAATCCCTCAAGATTTAGTAAATCCGTGTATTCTAATTTATATTCCTTTGTCTTATAAAACTTATTTAAATTGTAAAATTAAATAAATTAATTAATAAATATAAATGCAGTAAATTAAAAAATTCATTATTAACTAAACTTACTATTGTATTACTTTCAATCATAAAATTTATGAAGGCATCTGGCGAATTTATTTTTTTGACATTTATTCTCCAAACTATATCATAGGTTATTGGGGTTATAGGGATTGTACTATGATGGCTGCAAAATTCTATATCACGCGAATATAGTCTGGGCAATCTTAAATGATTATATTCAAGAGATAATATCAATCCTGACGTACTTAATATTTTTAATTTTAGTATATTAAATAATTTAAATTGCAAATGATTTTATTTATAAACATATTTACCTAATTATATTACTTTCTTGAAAATGAAATTGATGATAATTTTTCAAATTATAAAGATTTGAAGCAAAATAAACATAATGTTCTGTAAAATACATTAAATTAGGTTATTTAGTTTGATTTAAATAACAAATTATTTTAAATATACTCACCTTTAAACATATACATATTAATAAATTCTTTAAATCCAATTAAGTCATTAAAATCATTAACACAGTAACCTTTACACAAGTAATACCAAAAATTTGAATATTTTTTTAGTAAGTATACAAATGAGATACCATTATTTAGCTCAAATAATCTATTCAAATCTAATTCTGCATCTTTATACTTTTTTAATTCAATATATACTTTACATCTCATAATGAGCAATGATTTATCATGATAAATATTAGTAAATTGATTAATCTTAGTAATTAATTTATGGTAGTTTGGTAAGCACTTTAGGTTAAAATCAACTGTAGAAATTTGAGAAAGATAATCTCTTGACTCTTTCAAATACATCTTTTCTAAATCATTGTTAGGATCTAACTCAATGCATTTTTTAAATGTTGTAATAGAACTATCAATATCTCCCATTCTGTAATAAATTAGTCCTTTATAATAATATGCTAAAATATTTGAAATATCCAATTGTATAACTTTATTAAAATCTAATGAGGCTTTATCATATTCTTGAAGATTATAATATGCAATAGCTCTCTTAGTTAAATTATGAACATTTTCGGGATCTATATTATTTGCTTTTATAAAATATATTGCGGCCTCATCATACTTTTCCATTATACTTAGAATTTCACCATAATAACATAAGATTAATGAATCTTTCTTATTAACACTAAGCAACTTATTCAATACCATTAAAGTGTCAGAATATTTTCCTTGCTTTTCATAGATATAAGCACAATACTTAAGACATAAACTATTCTTTGAATCTTTTTTTAGTGCAATTTTGAAATTTTTTATAGCATATTCATCACAATTAATATTACAATAATTAATTCCAAGCACAATATATATGCTGTCTCTTATACACATCTAGATGTGTATAAGAGACAGGTCTTATATTTTATTGAAGATTTTAAATCTCTTATTGCATCATAATAATTGCCTTGTCTAAAATTAATTTCTCCACGAATAGACCAAGTAATAGATCTTTTTTCTTTCAACTTAATAGCTTGATTTAAATATAAAAATGCTTGCTCATAATCATCAAGACATAAATAAGTATAAGCTAAAATACATCTCATGGAATAACTTTCTGGAAAAGGTTTGAGAAATTCTTTACACAAATGCTCAGCATTTTTATAATTTTTTTCTTCTAATTCTTTCATTGCATTTTGATATTTTGGATGTTGTTTTTTTGAATTTCCAATTTGAAATATTGATTGAAATGATATATTTGGATTTGATTTAACTGCCTCTAGAATTTTCTTTTTCTTAACTAGTATAGGATTATCAACTTCTGAATCACCTGAATCACTATCACATGATAATTCTTCCGATTTAATTAAAGGTAAAATATGTCCAGCTTCAAAAAATTGCGAACGTAAGTGGTTATAAATAACATTTTGTGGTAAATATCTAATGTCATTATATTCAATATTTTCTCGACATTTAGGGCAATTTTTGTGTTTTAATTTCCTAAAATTATTAAATGATAATAAATGTTGACATTTTAGAACACACAATTGATCCGTTGGTTCACGATCAATTGGACAAGTCATTTCAATCGCAATAATCCCTAAAATATCCGATTTTGATATTTGTACATTTGTAAAACATGCACTTTGATTTCCCTTTCCCTTTTCCTTTCCTTTTTCCTTTCCTTGATTATTATTTAATAAATTAAAATCATCAGAACATTTGTTATCAACAAATATTAATAACTTTTGAACTTCTTCTGAATTATTTTCATCTAATTTTTGAATGTATTGATCAAAGTCAGCTTTAATTATTGAAAACATTTGATCATCAATTTTACGCAAGTGAAATAATATTTCAATTGCTTTAAATTGAATGAAACTGCTTGGAGCTCTGTTAAGTGATTCAATTGCCAAATAATAACAAAGACCATGCGTGGATTTTCGAGTAGAATTTTGAATAAGATTTTGTGCAAGATCTAAAATCCCAAACCATAAAGTATGTGGTAAAGTGAGAGGTTCATTTCCAGCAAGATCATTGATGAAATTCCCAGTATTTCTTAAAACTTTAACAAGTTTATTTGATACTTCATTAAATTTGGATTGTAAATCTAAAATAGAACTGTTAGTAACAATAGTCCATTCTTTTTCCAAATAACTCCAAAAATATTCCATTAATACCATTTCTTGAAATTTTCTACTGACGCTTCCAGACAATTCGAATAGATTATGTTGAATTATCAACATAATTCTCCAATCTACATAATATGACGCTACTGGATACTTAAAACTTACTCCCTCGCGTAATTGAGTAAGTATTGAACCAATTTCATTTGGACTAACACTATTTGCTTCTTGTAGTGCAAGGCTAAATAGAGTTTTAAACAATTTCTTAGTTCTTCGTATAATTTCTTGAAACCAAGTCTCATCATCACGCAAACTATGCAATGTATCCCGTAAGTGAATTAATAAGAAGTCAATATTATAATTTCGTTTGTTTATAATACCTTCATCTTCTTTATTATCCTGTAATTGATTGAATTGATTAAAGTCAGACCTATAATTATTATCAATTCCTTCTTGCATTACTTGCGTTGTTTTTTTATGAATTTCTGCAAATTTTGCTAAAGAATTATAAACTTTATCTCGAAGTTCTTTACTTAAGCGCATTGGTGTAAAGCAAATTTTTTCCAATACAGCAACCCAGGTACGAATATGTAACTCTAGCCTAGCCACACTTAATTTATCATAATAATCAAAAAGTGTTGGATTCGCTAAAGTAACTAAAGAATTACGAAGGATTCCAGGCGAAATTTCATTAAGTGGGTTTTCAAAAAGTAATTTAAGAGCAAACAAATTTTCTATTTTAGTCAAATCTTTATTAATAAGCACTTCCGCTTTTTCATTAGGCGTTGTAAGTCCGCTCATTTCTAATTCAAGGATACAACTGTTGAGCGTATTTTCAAGCATTGGTATTCTGAATGCAACCGAGTCATCTAAATTATTAGACGAAGAACATTCGCTCTATACATGTAATCATAATTAGCATATGACTTTAATATATGAAAATATTTAACTTTTATATTTTATTCACCTGAATAAAAATTTTTTACAATTTGATCGGATTTTGTGATAAAAAACCTGCTTGATCGGCAAGTCATGTTGTACATCTAATCCAATTCCGGTTAATGAAATTTTAATCAGAATTTTTTTTTCCTTTTCTTTTCAATCTACCTTTGTTTTTTTTTCTTGAACCGATCTTTTACTTTCGGTTCTTTCTTTTTTTTTCAAATTTTCTCTTTTCTCTTTCGAAACACCTTTTTCATTTCTTTTTTCATTTCTTTTTTTAAAAGATTTTTCTTTTCCAGTTTTTTTTTTCCAAACCGAAATTTTTTTTTGTTTTTTTTTCATTCTTCCCCGTTTAGATTTGGTTTTTTTCCCTAAACCGAAAACCATTATTGTTTTTTTTTATTAAATAATCTTGTTATTCAAGTCTTTTAAGACCGATTTTTTTTTTTATATATTATTTTTTTTCTATTATTAATTTTTTTTGAATTTTTTTTTTTTCGGTCTTTTTGGACCGAATTATTATCCTTTTTTTCGGTACTTATTTTTTTTTGAAAATTTCCCTTTTTTAAACCGATTTCTTTCTTTAACCTTTTTCTTTTCTCAATTTTTTTTCATTTTTTTTTTTCAATTTTTATTTTTCGATTTTTATTTTTTTTCCGTTTTTTTTCCAGTTGGCTTTTTCTCCAATCCGAAATTTTTTTCCCCTTTTCCTTTTTCGGTTTGGTTTTTTTTAAAACCGAATTTTTTTTTCCTGAATACATTCTTTCACCATTTAGGTTTGGGTCGATGCTGCGGCGCCACGGCGATTACCTTTTTTTATTTTTACAATTCTCGATTCTTATTATTAATAATAATAACATTTTTTGGCTGTATCAAGCTTGATCATTATAATTAATATTTCTGGGAATTTTTTTTTTTTTCATGACAATAGAAGTTAAGTTTTTCGGAATTTTTTTTCATATTAATTAGTGAGGTAAATTTTTTCTATAACAATAGATTGCTATAATGAATTTCTTTGAGATATAATAACAATATATATGTATTTTTTTCAGCAGAAGATGTAATTTTTTTTAATGCTACAATGAAATTTTTTTAAGATAAAAAAAAAGATTTTTTTGTAACAATGTAACAATAAATTACTATACAAAATTGTCTTTGTAATGAATTTTGTAATTATATAAATAAATCATAAATTTCACAGTACTGCAACATTTGTTTCGTGTTACAAGATGAACTGGAAATTTCTGACGGTAAGCTCTTAAACAATAAATTTCTTTATAGAGCATGTAACTAATTATAATTCGTTAATTTTATCTTTAGATGGATTTTGAATCATTGAACAATTTTTTTTTTTTATATTTTAAATTATTATCATGATTTATTTATTTATTTATTTATTTATCTTGGATTATTTAAACACTAAGATTAGAGTAGTAAATATTTTACAAAATTCTTAGTTTGTAGGCGAAAATTAATTTATATAATAAACATCACAGATTATTCCATTCGCTATACACGAATTTATTAAAGCAAGTTGAAAGAATAATCTTGCTTTTATCAACATGTCATCTTTACCTCATGAAAGTACGACAATAAAATATTGTACAAGGTTAGATTGTCAAATTTTTTATAATAACCTCTTATTATTTTAATTTTACATAACAAGTAACGAAACATTTTTATCACAATAATCCCTTATATTCGATCGGAATTACTGATGCAAATGATAAGGAATTTTTCAAAACATTTAGATACCGAAAAATTATCTTCAACATTAAGATTAGAATAATAAGTATAATTATAAAAGTATCACTCAATTCAGAACGACTATAATTAATAATTTATAAGAAATAATAAACAAAAAAATTAATTTTCGTGCTTTATATAATTAATTAATGTCAAATAATCAAATCTACTAACAGATTATAATCGCGAAATTTCTTTAATAATTCTGAACACGTGATCGACATGTGGCGTTCTTTCAATGTATTTTGTGTAACGTATATAACAAATTAGGACGTTATAAATAATTTGTTTTTTATTATAGTTTTGCATATTTCCAATATAAATCATATCGGCTGATTGGAAAAATCAAGCTAATTAATATTTAAGCTCAGTTGATGGGTAATAAATTACATTATTTATGACGTATTAAACATAATTTCGATATCATTAATAGTGTTAAATGCATATTTTTGTAATAAAATATTCTTTGGTTTTATTGTTATTTTTCATTACTGTAACTTTATTATTAAAAAAAATAGTCATACGACCTATACATAGTTCCATTAATCCCGTTAAGTCTCGTAATCTTATCTTTTTTTTGAAGCTTTTTTCAACTTGTTTGTTTTAATAATATTTATTTATTTATTTCATGTTATCTTGTTACGTTTCTGTTACAGAAAATATTATTGCGTCAAAGTTTTTTTTTAAAAAAAAAATCTTTAAAAAAATTTCAACGATATTACCTTTTACTATGTTTATGATCTTTCGCCTTACGCATGGTAAGGGAAAAGTTGGATTGATATAAAGAAAGATTTAGAAAATAATGATTTAATAACAAAAATTAATCAATATGAATATAAATTATTATTTAGAACAACTTCTTTAGATGATTTAATTCAATAAGATTTCATAAATATAAAAATAATAGACCTTGTATAGTAATAGTTAAGATTAAAGGTTCAAATAAAATTATTGGAAGTTATTTTTAACTATTCGTAATTTTCAACGAATGTGAAACGTAATAAAGAATTTTATAATTTAGGATTTTGAAATGAAATCTGATTCATTCCAAAAAAATCATTTAAATTCACGTGATTTAGCGTCTATAAATTCACGTGAAAATGCCAAGATGATCAGCACTGCCGAACTAAAGAATTACGTCAGGACCCCGAACAATATATAAATAGGTCATAGGAAATTGGCAAAATTTTACTATTAGCTCTACGCATTTTTTCAGGGCCGGAATTATGATAATGTCAGTCAGTTACTAAATAAAGTAATATATTTCTTACCAACGTTATCAAAATTTATCTAAAAAAGGAAAGATTTTCATGATTATTTTAGCCTATTCTACGCGTTATTTCTTGTTACCTATTTCAGTATTGCTCGGGGTCCTATTACGTCACTATCTGACGATCTTGTTTGTTTTTGTTAGTCGTACAAATGCAATTTGCTAGCCAACTTGCATTTAATTCTATTTTCGTTATCAAATACTGATTTCTTTTCAAAAATTTCTTATCGATGGAGGAAATAGATAATAAAGATATAATAAATTATTTAAAGGATAATTCTAAAAATTGGTCCAGTGGAAATAAAGAAATTGATGCATTCATTCAAAAAAACCAATCAAATGTATCAGACAATATAATATTTGAATGGATACCATATAATCAGTTTAGTGATATTAAAGAAATAGGATATGAATTTTCTACAGCAACATGGAAGAATGGGCCATTACATTTTAATATTAATAAAAAGAAATGGGAGAGAAAATCGAATAGAAAAGTTGCTTTAAAATATTTAAACATGGTACGGAGATTTTTTTTTTTAAAAAAATAAATATGTATAATTTTTATATTTATTTATATATTTATTTACTTGTGTGTGTAATTTAATAGACGAAATTATATTCAATAAAAATTGAATTTTTAAATAAGGTATTAAATTTATTTATAAATTTTGGATTTTAAATTATAGTTTCTTTATATACTAATAATCATGATATCTATCATAGTTTAAATCAGAAGGAATTGGTTATGGAATATCACAGAATAATGATACAAAAGATTATATTTTTGTTTTTCATGAAAAATTCTATGAAAAAAATTTTGAAAAATATTGTGAAAAATGTAGTGAAGGATATACAGATGAAAAATATAAATGGTGTAAACCGTGTCTTATAATCCATTTAAATTTTACAAACTGGACCAGTGGAAATAAAATGATTGATAGTTTTATTCAAGAAGAGCAATTAAAAATTGATACCCCATGGGATACAGTATTCGAATGGGTACCATATAATCAGTTTATTGACATTGAAGAGACAAATATACAAGGTTTTATTACAGCAATATGGAAGGATGGTCCATTAAAGTATAGTGAATATTCAAAAAATTATAAAAGAAATTTACGTAAAAAATTTGTTTTGAAATTTTTTTATAACTCACAAAATAACCCTGATGAATTTTTAAACAAGGTATAAACTATTCATGGAGTTTTTGTTTCTTTTAAATACATTTTATTTTATTTATATAATATATTTTAATAGGCGGAATCATATTTAACAACAAAGGATAGTTATGTTAATGGTAATTTTTATGGAATTTCTCAAAATCCAGATACAAAAGATTATATTTTGATTTTTGGTGAAAAATATCTTGAAACATTTTGTAAGAATTGTGGTGAGAATTATACAGCTAAGATATACAAATGGTGTAAACTATGTCATATCAATTACTTGAAAAGTAATTTTGTAGACTGGACCAGTAAAATCAAACAAGCTGAAACTTTTATTGCTTTTCTTCAAGAAAAGCAATTTGAATGGATACCATATGATCAGTTTAGTGATATTGAAGACATAAAAAATATTGGCGCCACAGCAAAGTGGAACTATATTACATATAATTCAGATGATTCAGGTGATTCAGATGATTCAAATGATTCAGTAGACAGTTTAATATTTAATAGGAAAGTTGTCCTAAAATATCTATATAATTTACAATATATTTCTAATGAGTTTTTAAGTAAGGTATGTGAGTTTAAGTTATGTAAGCATTTCTTTTTATCCTTTATGCTAATGAATATTATTATAGATTAAATCAAAGGATATTACTAGAATTTATGGAATATCTCAAAATCCAAAAACAAAAAATTATGCTTTAGTTTTTAATAAAAAATATCTTGAAACATGTTGCAAGAATTGTGGCACAAATGTAATGTATAAATGGTGTAAATCATGTCAAACTGATTTTTTGAAAAGTAATTTTACAAATTGGACCAGTGGAAATAAGCAAATTGATGATTTTATTCAAAAAGAGCAATTGAAAATTGATAACCCACGGAATACAGTATTTGAATGGATACCATACAATCAGTTTTTCTCCATTAAAGAGACAGATATACAAGGTTTTATTAAAACAGGATGGAAGGATGGTCCATTAATATTTAATAAAAAATCAGTAAAATATGAAAGAAATTTAAATAAAAGAGTTACTTTAAAATTTTTTTATAATTCACAAAATGTTTCTATTGAATTTTTAAATAAGGTATGCAGTCCATTTATAATCTTGATTTTAAAATATTTTTATTAACTGAATATAATATATATTATATTATTATAGATTAAACAAAAAGGTATTGGCAGTTATGGAATATCTCAAAAT